ACGGTACCATTCTCTCTTATTGAGGGATGGGAGCCTTCTGATGCAAAGAATGTTGCCGCCGAGCTTTGTGGCATATCGGTTGACGATATTGAAGATATTTACCCATGCACACCTCTCCAAGAGGCTCTTATGGCCTTGTCTGCCAAGGTGAGGGAGGCATACGTTGCACAACGTGTCGTTAAGCTCGATGGTCTCGACATGGCGACTAGGCTTGAGGCCGCCTTCAACTCTGCAACTGCAGACTGCGCCATTCTGAGAACACGAATTGTGCAAGTCCCCGAGAAGGGACTGGTGCAGGTCCTACTGAACAAGCCTATCGAGTGGTACCGTGGTGGCGATGTCGACAAGTATCTCGTGGAAGACAGAGATGAGCCGATGGATCTGGGCAAGCCGTTGGTGCGTTATGCCATGATCCATACCGAGGCGACTGGCGAATATGAATTCGTCCTCACTATGCACCACGCCTTGTACGATGGTTGGTCAATGCCTCTTGTGGTTGACCGTATCAACCGCGCCTACAAGGGTGAGCCCGCCAGCCCTTCTCCCCACTTCCGCGAGTTCATCAAGTACCTCCAGAACCTCGATCGTGAAGGTGGTGAGCGCTACTGGAAGGAGAGGCTTGAGGGTGCAACTGGACCTCAGTTCCCCATGCTCCCTTGGCCATCGTATCAACCACAAGCAGAGTCGCTGCTGGAGCACTACGTGCCTATCCAGCGTCACCCCAACTCCAACGCCACCGTTGCCACAATCTTGAGAGGAGCCTGGGCTATCGTTGCTTCTGAATATACAGCCTCAAGGGATGTTGTATTCGGAGAGACGCTGACCGGCCGAAATGCACCCATTGCTGGAGCCGAATTGATTGAAGGCCCAATGATCACCACCGTCCCAATTCGCCTTAGAGTTGACCTGAACGAGACCGTTGGCGAGTACCTCGACAATATTCAAGTGCAGACTGCTGACCAGATCCCCCATGAGCACATTGGACTCCAGCATATCCGACGTCTTAGCCCTGATGCCCTTCAGGCATGTGAGCTTCGAACGGGCATAGTACTCCATCCCACGGCCGACCCCAACGAAGAGTTTCCCGACGCGGATCTACCGGCCAGCCGCCTTGTGCCTGCGGGAGACGAGGAAGCGGCGCAAGAGGCATTGAAGTTCAACACATACGCCCTCATGCTTGTTTGCTCTCTCGACCCTAAGGGTTTCTTGATCATGGCCAGCTTCGACTCAAAGACAGTGGACGTCCAGACGATGGATCGGGCTCTACATCAACTCGGTCACGTCGTTCAGCAGCTCTGCCAGGAGCCGGAGAAGGCTCTGGGTGATATTGAATTCCTGACTTCTGAGGACAAGGAGTCCCTCCAGGCCCTAGGTACAACTGGTGCAATGGAGGTCCAGCAGGAGTTCTCTGGCGCCAACGCCGTCTGGGTCGTTGATCTCGCCAATCCGGATCGCCTGGTTCCGCGTGGAGCCCTTGGTGAGCTCATCATCCAGAGCACCGAGGAGCTTTCTCTTGAGAGGGTTGATGCGCCGGAGTGGATCAAATCCGAAGAACAACCCGAAGCGGCCCAAAATCTTTACAAAACTGGGCGCCTTGCTACTTGGACTTCGGAGAACTCCCTTCAGCTTAAGGGCCTCAAGAGCCAGCTACCATCTAATTATGTGATCCCCAAGGCTCGGTCCAAGACCGTGTCTGCTACTTCAAGCAAGCAGAAGGCCCTAAGGACACTCTGGAGCCGAGTTCTCCATATGGCGGAGGAAGACATCAGCCTTGGTAACAGTTTCTTCCAGCTCGGCGGTGACTCCATCTCCGCAATGAAGCTCGTATCGGAGGCTAGAAACGCAGGATGGTCCCTTACCGTCGCAAGGGCGTTCCAAAACCGCACCCTCTATGACATGGCTAAGATTCTGGAAGAGCTGGAGGTTAAGCCCGTGATCAATGAAGTGGTCCAACCATACTCTCTTATAGAAGGTTTTGATACAGATGCACTTCTCCCTTCCATCCAGGCTTCCCTTGCCGACCCCAACTTCAAGGTAGTCGACGTGCTCCCTGTGAGGCCACTCCAAGCAGTTGCCATTGACGGCACGATCCGCATCCCTCGCTTCTCGGCCCGGTACGAAATCATGTACTTTGATTCTCCAGTCGACCGTATCCAGCTTTATAAGGCATGCCAGGAGCTTGTGTCGATGAATGAGATCCTGCGCACTGTCTTTGTCAAGCATAACGATGAGTATCTGGCTGTTGTCTTGGAGGATCTGCAGACCCCCGTTGTCGAGTACGAAATCGACCAGAACCTCGAGGGCTTCACCCGCAATCTGTGCGACTTGGACGTCCAAACTAGGATGCCTCTTGGATCTGCATTTGTCAAGTGGTTCCACGTTCAGGAAGTTGGCGGTAGGAGCTGCTTGATTTTCCGCATCTCCCATTCCCAATACGACGAGATCTGCCTCCCCCTCCTTTTAAAGCAGCTGTCAGCTATCTACGAAAAGCGCACGGTACCTACTAGCCTCCCCTTCTCTTCCTACGTCCAGCATGTCGTTCGCCGAAGCATTCCCGAGTCCATCGGCTACTGGAAGGAACTCCTCGAGGGATCTGCCATGACCCTGTTCCGACCCGATATCCCAGTCACCAACACCGACCACTATGCCATTGAGAAGACATTCGACATCTCCGCTCGGTCAATGGATACCACGGTCGCAACAATACCCACAGCTGTTTGGGCACTTACGCTTGCCCGCCGCCTTTCTCTCCGCGACGTCACTTTTGGTGAAGTTGTCAGCGGACGTAACATTGATTTCCATCACGCCAATACCGTCATGGGCCCCTGCTGGCAATATGCCCCGGTCAGAGTCAAGTTCGACCCCAGCTGGACCGGAACCGATTTGTTATTCCATGTGCAAGACCAGCACATTGCTGGTTCAGCTCATGAGGCTATGGGTTTGCCCGAAATCGTCAAGAACTGCACTGATTGGCCGAGCGACGTTACCTGGTATGACACAGTTGTGCACCAGGATGTCGATCACGTGACGGAACTCCCTTTCCAAGAGACGACATGCCAGATGGAGACATACTATGCGCAGGCCGAACCTCTCCGCGAATGGAAGATTCAGGCCTTTTTCAAGGGTGACGAGCTCACAATCGAGATTGTGACGGTCGAGTCTTGGAAGGAAGTCGCCCATGAGCTCCTCGGGGAGATTGGCGAGGTGCTGAAGGAGTTGCTCTACAAGCCGGACCAGCTTCTTTTCGCGTCTGTTTAAACTATTTCGCGGACATACCGCCTTTTATTTATTATCCCAATTATTCTTGGAGATTTTCTTGTTGATATACTTCGGAGTGGAGTTATCTTGGTTTTTATCTTGTTCATCAATGTGTCAATGTTGTTCTTTTTTGGTTGTAACCTTGAGTTGATATCCACTTATATAGTCCAAGTTTCAACTACCGCAGTCCTTAGACAACTGTGTAATATCACGACAGATGTTTAAAATAATGCCTGTGTCTCAGTACGTGTGATGTATATATTGAGATTTACGCTTACCCTTTCCTTTATTCCCTTTTGCTTTTGCTTTATTCTTCGCGCCTTGTGTGATTTATTTTCTTTTGCTGCTGTTTTCCTCCCCTAAATACTGTGAGCGGTGCGAAGTTAGGCCGTTCATGTGGCAACTCATCTTTGACACTCGAGTCCGTCCCGGCTCCCGACTTACACCATGATCATTACCGGGTCCCACCTCGACTTCATGAATCATCCTTCACAAGCTCGCAAGATGCCTTCTGAGTTTTATGTTTCATGTCGTGTGTTTCACGGTCTGGATCTGACCAAGGCTTCTGGTGACTCTGTTAAGCCTAGGGCACACGACTGGAGCTTGCAAGTCACGATGATCCTCCAGTCGTGCTCCATCACTCCTTCCCTCTTCTCGGGACGTCGGATCACGGGCTCCCAATGTAGCTCCAGTCCACAGATATTTATTCACTCCTCTCTGATCTCCAAAATGAAGTCTTTCCTCTTTTCCGCCTCAAGACGAGTCATTGTGAACCCACGCTTCCCATCCACAGTTCTTGACCTTATTTCATTTCTCTTAAACCCGACTACTCTTGTCCTCGTCCTTTTGAAGTATCTGGTATTCTTTGGAGCACCTATTGGACCAGTATCTCCTTTTAAATTCTTTACCCATTTCTGTCTTCCTCGGATTCCTCGATTTGGTGGAGGCGAAATCTGCTGGAGCAAAAGGCTTGGACGCTGCCACTTTTCAGAGCTCAGTTTCTCGTCTTCTGGCGGTTCGATTCTTCACAGAAGACTCTAGTCCTCTGAGGACGACCCCAGGAACAGTCAACTTTGTGGGAAGGATCGTGCCTTCCTTCTTTGGTTGTCTCCTGGCGTCGCCCACCACAAGCTTCACCCACCCTCCCCTATATCAACCCAACTTCTCCATTCTCGTCCTCCTCTCAACTCTTTTATTTCTAACTTCTTCACCACTCTTTAACTTTCTACCGTCTACCTCATCGCGGAAGTATCGTGTCCAAGGAGGCCCTATCTCGTGCCGCTTTGCCATCGACATCTCCTGTCCATTCTAGGTAAGCTCGCGTCGTCTCATCTCTGCCCTCACCTCCATCCTCGTCCCCATCCTCATCTCTGTCCTGATCACTGCCCTCATCACCGTCTTCATCTCCACCCTCATCCTCATCATCCCCATCCTCTTCTCTATCCTCCAGTTTTCCCCTCTCACATCCCCGGCTCATCGTGAACCAGGAGCGGACAATCTAACCTCCTTTCTCTGACCCAGCAACCCCATTACGTATAGCCACTGTCAAAAACACTAGGGCTTCGTGGATTGTATTCTCGAAAGAGTCTCACGCGCTGCTCGTTATCGTTAGGCAGTAGCCGTGCCCAGCATTCTTTTCGTTGCCGACTGTTGAGATACAGTAGCTACGCCGACTGACGTTCCTACACCTCGATTCCTTGTCGACGAACCATTATTCTCTGCCTCTCCTGTTAAGGTGGAAGATGTCAGACGAACTAGGTTCGGCTGAGACGGCCGAAATTGATTCGCTCTTTGGAAGCGACGGTTTTGCCTTCGACGTGAGCTTTAACGCAGATCCGTTTGAGGCATCTACCGGCTCCGACTATTTCACGAGCTTATTGAACAGCGGCAACGTCGAAGTAGACACTAATCCCAGTGGCGTCATGGCCAATCCTGGCAACTCCAACCCCGGCCCCGTCCGAAATTTGATCGTCGACGGCAGCTCTGGAAGAAGCAGTGCGGATTCCAACGCTAGTCCCGGTCAGAACTCTAGCTTGGCTCACAGTGGAAACAACAACTTGACTCGTGGTACGTCCTCGAATAGCCCCCAGGTTGGTACTGGAGGAAGCAACATGACAAGCCTCACCATGCCGGGGAACAACCCCACTCAAGACATCAACAACGCACCGCCCAATGCCACGGGATTGCTTGTCTTGCCTGATGACAGTACCGACAACATCAACATCAACGATGGTAACCAGATTGGCACGGGCGGTCCCGCTGGCGACTCCACCGAGAGTAATACTACTTCCGTTTCTCAACTCAATCCCACGGCTGTACCGTGGGTCCCCACCAACAACAACGCGGCCGTCCCAAACGCATCGGGAGGTAACCAGGGTGTGCGCTCACAGAGCCTGCCGCAAGCCGATCATCGTGGCCAATCGAAGAGGCCTTGGCAGATGAATCAGAATGAGAACACGAGGAACATGAAGCGTAAGTCTAGCTCTCAATTAACGACTTGGAAAACTCAAACTAACTCTGTCGTTGAAGAAGCCACTGAACAGAATCGACCTATGAGTCAAGTGAGCAGGGCTGGCTCTATACCTCCCCATCACCAACAAGAGAGTACATCGGTGGCCCTGGCTTCGAGCATGGCTAGAGGAGTGAACCGCGAACCAGCAATCATGTCCCATCTCCCTGGTCAGATATCCGGTCAGCAATACACCCAAGCGTACCAATCGTTTCCCAGCCTTGGCGCAGCCGCCCCTCAGAATGGGATCCTGCAATCCGTTGTCAAGACGCAGCCAAAGAAGGCCGCTAGTGGTAAGTACCAGGTGTCTCCTGTTCGATCTCAGCGGCCCGATAATACTAACGTAGAAAAACCAGGCAAAAACAACAAAAAGGGTCAGGGGCAGAAAGGTCGAGGTAAACCGCGATATACCGGTCCGACCTTCGCCGTTCCCCCGTCTGTACCAGTCGCCATCGATCTTACCGATACGGTCTTGCAGCCTCTCAACGTCGAGTTGTTCAAAAAGACAGTTGAAGCCCAGAGGAAAAAGTCGAGTGCTCCTACCCAGAATATCGCCAATAGCAATGGAAGCGCCATGAACAACGCCATCCCGGCCTTGAGCCAGTCTTATCACCATTATCCGCTACCCCAGCCGCTGGCCTACCCGATAGTCCAGAACCAGGCTCCGATCCCATTTCCATTTCCCGTTCAGCCTCAGATGGAGAATGTAGCTCCGCAACAAGCTCAGAAGCCTCTCTATAGTCAGTATCTGCATCCGGCTCAGCCTGTGATTCAGCATCCGGTCCAGAATCCAGTTCCGCAGAAGACTCAGCAAATTGCTCAGCAGAAGGTTAATCAGCAAGCCCGAGAACACAGGGAGGCCCCAGGCCCTTGGAAAATGTCACCGGAAAAAAGGAAGGATTTTCATTTGTTCAATGTTGATTACCAGACACAACTGAGTGATTCAGTTCGAAAGAACCCCCCCAAGCGACAGACCCGGAAGCCTCCTATCAACGTTAGTAGTCAAGGTGTCTTCTCGCCGGAGGCCGAGCCAGCCTCTCTTCCCAGTTCCACCCCTGCGCCCCCTTCGACTCCGAAATCCCAAGTCGGTCCGAATGTACCTCGTCCACCTCAAGCTATCGGTGGAAAAGGCGGTGCGACCGGCGTTATGCGCCAGATCATGGCTGAACGAGATACGAGACTCATCAATGCGAGTTTTGCCCAGGGGTTTGAGTTTGGCATCGAGCGCGGCATCCAGTTGGTACACGCCATCATTCTCAACACTGCGCTGAAAACAGGACTGGAGACCCCTGTTGGCGCTGTCCTGGAGCTGAAAAAGGAGGATGTAGAGGGTGACGCCCTTCGTAAGAGCCTGAAGCAAAAGTCGAGGACTCTAGTCCAGGCCTGGATCAACAGTGTTCACTCGCAAATGGGCGCTCTTTCTGAGACCACTTGGTGTAACAAGGAGATCATCCTGCCACAATTGGCCAAGATTGTGGCTCACAACCAAGATCTCTTTGACCAGAATACCGTTACGCAGCTTAAGGCCGCCTTTTCCGCTGCTGCTGCCGCCAGTAGCGGTGCCAGTGGAGTTGGTGTTAATACCACACCTTCCCGCAACGACAAGGCACCAATGGCGATGGGTGGTGATGGCAACAGGTCTGTCTCTCGTGGTCCGGACCCCAATGACAAGGCGCCCATGACAATAGGCGGTGATGGCGGAAGGTCTATCGCTCGCGTTCCGGATGCCAATGACATCCAAGGTCAGATGGAGCAAGCCATGGGTGGTTCCCGCCAGGCTGCCGCGCGGGTGGCGCGCACCGAAACTCCTACCAGGCCTCAGGGCTACTCACAGCCGGAGCATCAAGCCGGCCCCGACCACGACGCCTTAGTTACAACGCCTGTTCGTCCCATGGGTATGAATGCTGGGGCGCCAAACGGTGGAGCTAGTCATCGAGGCGTTGACCTTTCCGTTAATACTGCTATCGCGCAGATGCAATCAAGCAGTCCGCCAACCCCGTTTCATATCACCCCCGATGGACGGGCGCACGTGGACGAGGAAACGCTGAGGTCGCAAGCGGCTGTTCCTGTTGGCACGAAGAGAGTTGCGAGCCAGGCTTCTGATGTGTCAGATACTTCGATTGAGAGCCCCTCGAAGCGCCGCAAGGCTGCGAACGGAGGTGTCGTCGCTATTCCAAGTGATACTGCCGAGGGCCGGTCGTTTGACGAATTGGCAGCTACCCTCAGAGCAGACATCGCTGGTAGCTCTGCTTCGGCAGCCACCTCTGAAGGCGTGGCGACGTACGCCGAAGCCATCTCTAGTTCTCCTGAGACTATCTCGTGTGAGCCTGTGGTCACTGGACAAGAGCATCTAACCGATGGGATCCTAAGCCCAGCCGAGAATGATGCCACATAGGAATGGGTCCAGGCGAACATCAGAACTCAAGCATACTTTGAGTCGCGCATGCCAGGAGGCATTTCGCACTCGACCGCACATTTTCTGCATACGCTCACGGAGATTAACAACAACGAGTACATTACGGAGCTGGCTAGGTCGTGTGACGACATCGTCGTGGATTTGAGCAAGGGAGAGAAGACCCCGGAGGGGGGTGTTGAGAGTGACGGAGGGATTGCAGCGTCTAATGGAGCGAATGACGTCCAAGACACCTTAGCAAAGAGCCGGGAAGCCTCCAAGAAGAAGGAGTTTATGCGAATCCGCGCGTATCACGACAGGATCTTGGGTAACGACAACGTAAGTGATTAAAATTGCTTTCCCCCCTTTTCTTTGTTCCTATGTAAGCGGGAGCTAACACGCGAGGACAACAGCCTTTTGAACGTGAAATTATGCAATGGTACGGCCTCGATCTCTGGGTCCTCGAGCGAATCCAGAAGGAAACCGGGTATTCGGACGCCGAGATGCGTCGCAAGAACCTCGCTCTGGCCCTGGCCGACCAGGCGATCGTCAAGGATTCGCCCATCGATGGGCCGGCCAAGCCTTACGCTCTCGCGCGTGCCACCATGACCTGGTATAACATGAACAAGCGTCTCCCGGCGACTCTGCTTTTGAAGACGCAGGATAGCCCGGGGTTCATGGCCTGGATAAATACGATGAACGATCCTGAGTGTGTTCATACTGCGGTGAGGGAGCACTTTAAGACATTTTAGATCCTCGCGGCATTGCGCCTGAGTGAGATTGAGGGAACATAAAAAAAAAAGAAAAAAAAAAAAAAGAAAGGGGAGTTTGGGGAGCGAGATAAGTTTGCGAAGTGGAAGGGATGGATGATGGATGGTTTGAAGCAAAGGGCCACAGACACATATGCGTGCCGTGAAGGGGGCAAGGGGAGGGGGTTTGGAAGGAGGGCTGTTTTTTGTTCTTTATTTTTATTCGTTTCTTTTTCCTTTTTATCCTTATGTTTTCTGCACTTGCTTCTTTGAGACCTTGTGGGTTTAGGGAACGAATGTTTTCGGTATCGTACTTGGTCTCCGGGGTTGAAGTTTCTCGCTTGGCAGTAAGTTTGTTTCTTTTTGAGATTCGAGGAGGGCCGAAATCCGTGTTAGTGGTAGGATCACGGTAGCAAATTGACTTGATATATTGGACAGTTGCTCTTCCCTGTAGATCCGAAGCATGGATCAAAGATACAATAATGTCGTAGAGAAAACAGCACGGCTAAGCCACGAGTTCTTTCCAGGCCTGATGCTATCAATATGCTTGGCCGTGCGTGTGAACATTAAACTACCTACCCCTGTGGCTCATTCAAACTTCACTGGTAGTTCAAGAGCCGCCTGGTGAATCGCGGTCCGGGACGCCGCTCGGCTGCCTCCAGTGCAGGAACTACACTGAAGCGACCGAGAGAACTGATTAACACGAATCCTGGTTCCGCTTCAGACAGGAAAGTTGTAAGTTGGAGAAACCATATCCTTGTTACTATTTCCGAATTCGTCGTTCGCCTTGAACAAATCTCGTCATTCATCCAATTGTGATACTAGGACCGTTTTTTGTATAGAAGTCCTTAACTAAGACACCAAAAGTGAGTCACGACCCTAGCATCTGTGCCGTTCTTCCCGAAGTCGTTCCTTCTTCGCAACGGCATCCGGGACGGGGAATCGTGGGATTTGTCAGCGTTTGGGGGTTTTGAGATGGCATCTTGACTTGCACTTGCACAGACTGACTTGTAGCATTTACACGTGAAGGGAACATTTGAAATCTTGGCCGCCGCCAGATCTGGGAATCTTTTGGGAAAGTGGGTTGGAGAGGACGGTGACCATGACCAATGGGGTTAAATTGAGCAGCTGGTGGTCCTCGATAGGATCCACATCCAGAAAGGGTGAGCACCATAAATAATGCTTCCAGTCTCTGGTGGAGAATTGACTCCGGCTCGCTGCACGAAGTACACACTACACTACGGCGCGGGAACATGCTTGGGCGAACCACAACAGCCTTGCCATAATGCGCTAGGATGTACTACGATTGTACTTGGCAGTAACAGTAATGGTGTGTCTCGTTCCTTCCCACTCCGATGTCATGCAGGCGAGACCATCACGGGACGCAGAAAATATTTTCGTCTGTGGCAAGAGCTCGCCTGCCAGCCAATTCCATCCGGGCAGTGCAGTCACTCCATCGTATGGGTGGAGCAGCGAGTGCCGAACAATTGGCAGGTGCGGAGGAGCCTTGACGAACCCGAGTGGGCGCTAAGCTTATAAAGTTATAAGCTTCACCTCAGTGTTGCATCGACGACAAGAGCGCCCTGGAATATTTTCATCAATTGAATGTTGCGGCTTCGCACTTTGCACTTTGCATTTTGCACTAAGAGCTCGAAGCTGGGCCTTTTTGGGCCTTTTTAGCGAGCATCGAATGTATCTCTGAACTATTGATGAACACATCTGTTTCCCCAACCACCCGACCCTTCATGTTCGCAAGCACGGAGCATGAAGCACAGATAATCGCAATAAGCCAAGACGAAAACAATTTCAATTAACATTTGATCAAACGAATCCGTCAAGTGTCTTATATTGTGAGTACAAGAGCCCCTCCTAGTAGAGGTTGGACGTTGGACGTTGGACGATGGACGATGGACGATGGATGATTGATAGACTCGACGCTGATCGGAAATCGCCTAACTTCAAGATCATGAACTTGGATCTCGACCGACCATAACTATACCTCCTAAACTACTTTGTGTGCACGGAGTACTTCTTCCGTACTTGACTGGAATTTAGCTCGAGCTGGAGCCGCCTTGGACAAACCGCCCACCACCGACCGACCGACCAAGATCAATTGAACGACTCAGTGGACAAAGTGGGCCTGGGTTCGTTACTATCAAATTCTATTTTTCTCTGTGTCACTTTTATTTTTATTCTCCACCAAACTCAGCCCAGCAAGCCGAGAGACATCAACTTCCGCTTGTCCTTTCCCAACCTCTTTGCGCCTCGAGTCCTTGAGTTCTCGACTGCCACCCGCATCCCTACCCGAACCCGCAGCCGCACCCTCTTCTCCCTCGGCCGCGCTGTTTCTGTATGTAACATGTAACTCGAAACCACAGACCAGACCAGGCCAACGCATTACGGTCCCCGCAGCCACCAGCTTCCCCGCATCAAATCGCAGCAGATATTGCTCCCTTCCCTCTCCTGGCTTCCCATGCCCTGCATTCTGTCAAAGCACCAGCGGCTCTACTCCAACGAAAAAAGAACTAGCCTAACCCGCTTGAGTTGGCAAGGTCACTCGCACGCAACATTGAATCTAAACTACGAAGCACGCCCTTCGCACGGCGAAAGATCACGAACCACTCAACGCCGACGGCCTACGCCCTGAACCCTGCTGGCTCGCTTTCGATTTCGATGACCATTGACCGCGAACGGCGCTGGCGATCTTGGCAACTTCGGGTACTCCAGCGAGAAGGGCCACTGCACCACGGAAAAAGCAAACCGTCGTCACACTCCATAAGTGGCCGAGGAATGTGTGGTTGCCACCCTCTTGTCTTCGCCGTCGATAACTCTGGTCTCTTCATGCGTACTGATGCTATATTTTTTCGGCGATATTATTAGATCCCCGCATGTTTGCATCCTTACGCAGGGACGCCGTCGAAGACGTAAATACGCGCCCCCGAATTCTATAGACTCGACGTTAACAGCTTTGACGACATTGATGTACATACCCTGCACTTGCACTCTATTTCTATTTTCTCACTCCTGACAGGCAGTAGATCTCGCCTCGGCCTCTTGATCTCCACTCCACCACCAACCGCCACCGGAGGTCTGCCACCTTAAGAAGGTTTTCTAGTCTTTCCCTTACCTGTCTTGTCCTGCCCTGTCCTACCCCACGGGTTGCCTATTCCGCCAGTCCTCTCTTCGGCTTTATGCTGGTCCCTTCACATTCGAACCACCAAATAGCCCCGCCACCTCTCCCTACTCCTTTCACGCCTCCATCCTTGCCCCCTCTAGGGCGGTGAGACGTACTTCGTACACTTGAGGCGAGCAGGGTGTGGTTGAGCTGCCAGCGCCGCCACAGTCCCCGCCTACCAATCCACCCTAGGCTTTACCTCCCCCCCTCTACCAAATACTCCCGCCCGGCCTGCCTGGTCGTGCATTGATGGACATGTCTCCGAGCCTCATAAAGACCTCCTCGCAACCCGACAGCCTCAATCCTGTCAACCATGATTCTTCCCCCTTGACACTTTCCAAGCTCGTCGGTGGAAGGAAGGAGGATTCACCAGCTCCCGGCGAGGTGCCTTCTCAAAACACGCCTTCCTCGAATGTTCCCACCGACCGTCGGAAATCCTACCCTACTCCTACTCCCGCGGCCTCTGAGCTTCCCACGACCACCCCACGCCGCCAGTCCATAACAATGTTCTTCTCCGACCTGTACAAATCCCCCAAGGCAACGCTGTCCAAGTTTCGCCACTCCCTACCCCCGGAAACATGCGATTATGGCGACCCGGATTTGCTGAGCAAGGATAAGATTAAGCAAAAGGCCGCCGTGAAGAAATTCCTCGCCGAAAAGGTCCGCAACGATTGGGAGTTCACATGGCCGCCTGTCAAAACCACCTCATCTTCTGCATCGGCAACCGCTGCCGGTGCGGGGGCACCTACATCCGAACACGCAGCAGACATTGAGCCTAACGCCGAACACGCAGCCCAGACCTCGATTACAACGACGGCAACGGCATCGCCTCCTACCATTACTGACGGGACTGATACTACCCCACATTCTTCTCCTTCCGAGAATGCTACAGTCTTGGCGGTCCCTTCCCCACCGACTAGCATCACGCATACAGACAGCCAGGCGATCCCGGCACCATTGTCCGATGGCCGCCAAACGGAACCTCCCGTCGGTTTTGCCAATGGAGGAATCACCACGCATCAAGACCTAGAGCAGGGTAAATACGATGTTGCAATTGACGACGACCACGAGAGTGATGGCGACACGTCGTCGATTTATAGCATCTTCTCCGAGGACGAAGCGCACTTCCGCCCACGCCTTGAATGGACTTCGGAGCTATCCGATTCCAGCGAAGACGATGACACACCGGCATCCTGTCGATTCGAGAGCCCCGAAACAGTAGGAGAGACGGTTCGCGCAAGAATTCTGTCGAAGAAGGAAAAGCGCCGTCGTGCTGTCATAGAAGAAGCAACTTGGAACGTAGGCTTGGCCTGTTTCGAGGCTAGGCGGAATGCCTGGACGGGTGCGAGAACAGTCCGATTCAGGAAAAAGCCCGTGTCGCCAACGACTGGATTTTCCCCCCGTAGACTATTCTTCAGATCCCCGCCAGCAACGCCACTATCGTCGTCTCCAACGGAGCGCAAGAGTGGAGACTCCGCAGCTGTGCTTTCCGATGCTTCGGACCCCCACAAGGACCCAGGAGCAGCGCTGGTCATCACCAAAAAGCAAACGAAATCCTCAACGGCATCGGCCCCGCCGTCGATCCCTTTGCCCGTCGAAACCATTATCCCCATCGCCCCGCCTATCCTCCCCCCAGCCAACCCCATGCGCGCTAGCATCACCCCCGCCGTATACCCCGCCCTCTACGACAAGCTCGTCCTCAACGGCCTTACCCCAAGCTGCCCCGTCAACCTCGCCGACATGCTTCGCGCCTGCGTCTGCGGCTGGAAGCGTGATGGCGAGTGGCCTCCCAGGGCAACCATGGCTCCGCCGCCCATGGCCATCCGCAAGAAGAAGAGAAAGACGAGCGAGAGCGGAAGCACGGCGAGGCGGATGAGCTTTGGATTATTAGGTAGGGATAAGGATGGTGGTGAGAATGCTGGAGGCGGCGGCATTCGTAGGAGCATGCAGAGGATTCTCGGCATTCATCACCATCATCCTGCGGCGGCTTAAGGGCGCGGCGTACGGCGACGTTCTAGCAACACGGTTGGTTTATATGAGTAGTGGGAGAAAGCGAGCTTGCTTTTGGAGGGATGATATCATGACGGTCATTTATAGGATACTGGGAAGGGGGCGGCATTGAAGTTTCATGACCGACTTGGTACAACTACGTTTTGGGTAATGGGAGAATGGTATCTTTGCGTGTTTCGTGTTGTCTGTAGGTTTTCTCTTGAATATCTTTTTTTTCCGCTCCTGCTTTGCATGGCATCGAGTTGAGAGCGATGGCGATGGTCTTGTGCAACAGTTTCGTATCTATACTATACCCACCTCTTATCGACATTACATTCATAGCATGGTGATGCCGGGAAATGGGAAATCTATGTGAATGTGGGATTTATTGAGATCTATTTTTTTGATATCGACTTGAGTGTCCAGTCTGACACTCTGCCTCACGAAAAACCATAGAAACAAACTCTTTAACCCTCCCATATCTCCCAGTACCCGGAATAACCCCCCCCCCCCCCCAGCACAAGAGGAGGATAGAAAAGAAACTCCATTTCCAAAAAGAAAACAACAGACACACCTACTGCACTTCCTCCACCACCTTCCCAGCTCTCAATCCTCCACCGCCACCACGAGCCCTCAGCACGTCACCGGCATGAGAGGCCAACAGTTCTTCGGGAAGGGCGATCCTGCTCCCCGCGCGATCGCTAATCCACCTAAAGGTCGTGGGGTCAGGTTTCTGGGATTCGGACTCGGCGCCCTCTTCATCGCCACCGGCGCCGCCGGCTGCTGCGCGGCCTTTTGTCTTGGGGGCTTGTTTTTTGAGGAGTTTGTTGATCGTTTCCATCTGTAGAGTGTCGGGAGTTTAGTATACGATCTCTTCCAGTTCCGAAAAACTTTGGGGGAGTCGGGAGGAAAAGAGAGCCGGGGAGGATAAGTATTTACCTTGACTTCTTCGTTGCGTTTTTCGCTGAGGTTTCGGCGACGACGGGCCATTTCGGCGCGGCGCATGGACAGTTCCTCGGCGGTAAAGTGTTTCTTTACTTGGACCTCTATTCGTGGCGCTTTAGCAATACTGGTGGTATATGAGAGGGAAAGGGGTGAGAGGCGAGACGAATGTGAGAAAATCGTAGAACTTACCATCTGAAAGCTTCATGTACTCCTGCGGCGTATCCTCAAACCTCGCCCTCTGCCGCCTCGTCATCTTCGACAGATCCGGAGTTTCAGCCCTACTAGCGCCCTCCTCATCACTGTCGAGCTCTTCCTCTTCTTCCTCCTCCTCGCCCTCGGCGTCAGGTTCCTCTCCTTCGGCGGCGACTTCGATCTCTTCTTCTTCGCCCTCGGCGTCATCATCGCCGAGCATCGTCTCGCCATACGTAATGGTCTCCTCGATGTCACTCGGACCAGGATCGCTGAGGTCGTCATCATCGTCATCGTCGTAGGCATTTGCTGTTGGCTTTTGAGCCGGTGCGGGCTTGGGCTTGGGTGTGGGTTTCGTCGACCTTCCGACGGTGATGCTCGACGCGGGCGCAACATCCATGTCGATATCACCCTCGCCGTCCTCATCGCCCAAGTCATCAGGTTCTCCATCTGCGTCAACATCCATCTCGTCAACCTCGCCCTCTGCATCCTCCTCACCAGACCCATCCATATCCTCATCCTCGTCTTCTTCTTCTTCTTCATCATGACCAAGAGACTCATCATCTTCCGCCTCAGCTTCCTCTTCTTCCTCCTCGTCGCTATCACTATCAACGACGTAATTCTTCCTGCCACCGCGATTCCTCTTGCCCGAGATGATCTCGCCGCCGACGAAGTTGTCCCGGCTGTTCACGGAGATCTGCTGCTCCGTCCTGACGCCATCGCGTCCCACGGTGGCCTGGCGGAGTTTGTTGGAGGATACCTTGATGTTGAGGTTGAGGTGGTCGGGCGAGGACGGCGGCTCCCGGGATACGGTGGCGCCTGAGGTCCGGCCGGAGCGGCGGTCTGAGCGGGAGGACATGGGGCGGTCGTTGGCTTCTGCCATGTCAGTGATTGCTTCGTTTGCCCGGAGGGCCGCGGAGCGACGGGGTCGGCTGGACATGCTGGGTATGTGTGCGGGTATGTGTGTAGGTGTATGTCAGGTGTAGATGCGTGTTTGTGTGTGTGTGTGTGTGGAGATGTGATGGAGAGTTGATATCTGGTCTAGGTGTGGGGAGTTGATATAAGGTATTGGAGATGGGGTTAGGCTCGTTGGGGGTTTAAGGCTGTAGTTCGTAGTCTGGTTCGCCACACTAGAGGCTGGGCAGGAGGAGGATGTGGTTGGGAGATAAGCCTGAGGAGACAAAGGGATAATCAAATTGGTAATGGCGAGAAGTGCGTGGGTATGAAGGCAAGTTAGGAATGGATCAAGGGTGATTGGCTTGACCGGAGCTTATGGCGCATAAGGCCGGGGACCATAGAGACTCGCAGGAATCGTCACTGGAAACAACGTGAGTTGGTCGCAGTTGACGCGCAGGTTGCTGCTCCACGTCTAACTCCACGTCCCGCCTGCAGGCGCAATAGGGAAAGATCCAGAAGGTGGGCACAATGCAGAAGCGGGCAAATTTGGCTTGTGAGACAGGCAAACGACAAACGGGCCTTGGACCAGAGCAGATGTCACCAGGCGACGTCTGCCCACGGTTTGCCACGGTCGCGATTTGGATCCGTCTCGCCTATTATGCGTTATGCTCTGGCAGGATCCGGTCCGCGTTCTCGACGTCGCACAGGCTGGGCCAATCCTAAGATTGTTGATCGTTTGTCTCCCTTGGTGATCTCCCTTCATCCACCGGCACTGGCACTCTTTGTTTGTTTTAAAATGGCAGCGGCGGGTTGCCGGTCCAGGCGTTCCTCTGCCGTTGAATACGGATTCTCGGCTACGCTTACGCGCCAGGCTGAAGATGGAAGGAGGAGGGATTTGAAGGATGCGAATGACAGTGACAGTTGCGGAAGACGGCAATGCAATGGGACAATGGGATGACGGCGACAGGGCAAGGGGAATTAAGAGACTAAGCTCAAAGTTGCATCAACATCACTTGAGGCCTGGGCTCACTTTATCTCCATGCCACCCCTGGTCTAGCTAGTGATGAAAGAACGCTTGCGTCGCACACACACGCATTTCGACTGGTGATTTTACATTACCGCCACTGGCGAAACCTGGCTCCTTGGCCCCAATCCCGACCAACCGTGGAGAGGCAGAGACCACAGTTGAGTTTTATAGTAGAGGGAGATGGCGCGACAAGGGGGGACAATGAACTAAGATCAGAAAAATAAAGAAAACAAGATCTTGAATTCTTGGCGTCGACAGCAATGGACATGGGGGGGAAAAAAAAAAGGGCATATCGGATTCTATTAAAATGCAGACTTACCGGGCAGCGGCGTATAATAAGGATAAAAGGATCTGTGAAGGGTCTGGCAGCGGGTCCTTTCGTACAACAGGGAGGTTCCTGCAAGGCCAAGACTACAATTGGCGGTTGGGCACGGTGAGTATATCTTCGTCTGTTTTTGCTGGATGCGAGAGCTCGAAATGCTGGAGTCGCTGGATTGGATTCTCACCCAGGGTCAGATCAGAGAGACCAGAGAGACCAGAGGCTAGGCAAGGTAACAATGTAGCTTCCATATTTGCTGGAGCTGCTCAGCCTCAGGTGGCAAGATCGGATTCGAAGTGTGGCGTTTGGTGGTGTGGCTAGTATTTACCCCTCATTACAGTGATCCGCCCCTATAAACACATTTATTATGCTAAATTGCATCCCGGCTTAAATTTGCAATTTGGAGTAACTCGCGCTTCTTTCTCACCAAACTCGAAGACAACGACATCCCATGCTCCATCACAAGCTCTGGCGTTAACCGGGTTTCATTTCGAAAAACGCCAAAAGGCATGTGGAACACCTCACTAATCCCACGTGGAATCTCGGCTCAAGTCTCAGAACTCCTTCTTTAGCATATCAGTTTCCACGACCTAATCACCGCATCCACTACTAGTACTTAGTCTTTCCACTGAGGCGGTAAGATGAATGCCTCTCCTCGGTTTCGATGCCCCAAAGATAGTCTATATAAATACCATCTCCCTGGCCAAAAGCCCCTCCTCTTTTCTCTGTCACTACTCCACCTTCCCTCCTCATCACTTGCTCGCTCGGACCTAAAGACAAAGCCACCACCTATGCCGGAGGTATAGCCATGCAGCGAGGCGCGAAGCTCGTAATGGTCAGTGGGGAAGTCCTCCAGTGGTCGCAACTCAGTCAGTTCCATGCTCAAGACTTCAAGCATTTGTCATTCCCCATGCTAACAGCATATCAGATCTGGTAGAGAAATTCATTGAGTTCATCACCATGGAAGGGAAACCGACGGGTAATGCATGCCGCATCCTGGGTCTGCAGGATCATGCTCGCGTAGCTCCAGCGGGGCTAGCTAGCTTAAAGGTGTTGTTGTTGACAAGAGGGCAATTCGAAAGGGAGCTCGTCAATCACGGCAGCTGCAACGACGTTTCAACAACTTAAATTTGCAATTGGCGTACCGAGGTTCGAGGTATACCATTACTCTGACACCTGAGTCTATTTCCATTTTCGGAATGCCTAGACGGTACTACCCGCTCGACTGGTTAGGCCTAGGACAAACCTAGCACGGACATGAACGCGACGAAGAATCATCTGCGCAGCAGATGACCCGCGAACACGCTCTGTGCGCTTCTCGAAGACTGGTTTGGACGGATATCGGGCGTGTGAGCAATGCCTCGCCCGGCAGTGAGAGGGGCCTTCGTCCTGTCGACTACTCTACGCTACTGCCCCGGCTCAACAAAGGAGAAAGGTCGCAAAAAGTATCCTTACAAGTATCCCTACAGGTATCCCTACAGGTATCTTTATAGGTATCCTTATATGTATCCTTCGGAGTATCTATTATTGATCATGTTTAGCATTCATGGCTTTTGATTCATGGGGCATTCATTTCTGTTTACTGCATTGGCATCGGGAAGGCGTTTTTGGGGGTTTGCTAGGTTCGATGCATTAAGGCATTAGAGGCGTTGGGGCATTTGACGCATCAGAGCATTTCACACATTAGAGAGGCGTTTGAGCATTGGGGGCATTCGAGCATTGGATGCATTAGAGAGGAATGAGACCCGGACAGCATGACAGCATGAGAAGCTTTTGACGCATTTGACCCATTAGAGGGCATATAGACCGCATAACACAGCGAGCATTGTTTTTAAAGATCGATTGCCACTTCAACAACTTATACGACACCGTCGTGTGATACGACGTGTGGAAGGAGAACGCTACGACTCCGCGTGATAACACCTAGAGGTGGCTCTCTTGTATCCATAGAGAGTGGAATTCTGAATGATTAGACGAAAAATATTTTCAAGTAATGCATGAAGACGAAGGGATGTTTTTTTTTTTTTTTTTTGGAGCATCTGGGGAAGGAACATTGAACCTCGACAGCGCCGCGCCTTCCCATCTTTCCAAGTCCATCTTCGAGCCCAGCATAAGCCTTGAATACCAAATCCGGGGTCAGGGTCTCCAACACCAGCAGGGAAGCGCGGCGCGTCTCGGGAGTCACTCGACAATGTACGCTTGAACTCCTGGGTCCCCCGAAAGTACCTGCTGGGTTCAACAGAGCGGAATAGAACAACTTTTTTTTCTTTGCGTCCTTTCCTTTTTATTTTAAAATCATCCACATTTCCTTCGATTCCAGCTCTCCGCAAGACTACTTGTGTTGTTGACCTACGCTTTTGATATAACTCCAGCTTACCAATTCCTCCTAACAATATTCAGAAGCTTGGTCTGGGTTAATGCCTTCTCCACTCGTGACATGGATCTGGCTTTGAATCGTTGGCACCATTTCGGATGAAAGACAGACTCTGCCTGATATAAAAATAAGATAAACTTGCCAGCGTAGACAGCTTCGCTATCTTCTTCCGAACTCTCCTGGTGTGGGCTATCTTCTTGCGACTGCTTTTTTGCCCTTCAGAGAGATCGACGTTGATATTGTTGTCTGCTGCGACCTGCTGCAGTCCAATCAGAAATTCCCTTTTTCCCATTGTGATGAATGGATTTATGATGACTAATCTTTCCCGAGCAAGCTCCAAGTCTCATGTACCGATTTGGCACTTTGACTCTCCATGTCCCAAACGCCTGGGCTGAACCAAGCCGAGGCACATGCAGACCGACCGCGCATCTTCAACGACCATCTTCCCTCGCCGAAAACCTTCCCGACCTTGCCATCCACTGCCCTCAAATACAGCCAGTTTGTCGCCCGGAAAAACAAAACCCCTTCAAATTGGTATCCGACTCAATAGGAACGAACAATGTCTGGTCCGGAAGACAAGAAACCTGACGAGCATCCCGTCATCGAGACCGTCGCGGAGCCCGTCGCGAAGGTTGTCGCAGCGGGGGAACCCTCCTCTCCCGTCCAGGAAGACCGGCTCGAGATTGCGCGCCGTTTCCTAGAGGATGAAACGGTCAAGAGCTCGCCGAGGGAGAAGCAGATCGAGTTCCTAAAGTCAAAGGACCTATCTGACGAAGAGATAGAGTCCCTTCTCGGCCCCAGCCCAACTCCAGAGGTAAACCCAATCGCATATCACACACACCCTTTCCAAATCAACAAACTAACACTGTCCATAGACTTCCTCCTCCTCAACCTCAGATCCCCTCCCCACCCCCGAACCCGAACCCTTCCACGACGCCGAACCCACACCACACGCCCCCATAATAACCTACCCCGAATTCCTCGCCAAACCCACCGGCCCCGAACCCCTCCTCACCCCCTCCCTCGTCCTCTCCTCCACCTACGCCCTAACGAGCCTCGCCACCCTCCTCTACGGCACCAAGAAATACCTCGTCGAGCCCATACTCTCCCAGCTCACAGCCGCCCGCCTCGACCTACACTCCGAGACCTCGAAGAACCTCTCCACCCTCATCGCCAAGCTCGAAAACACCGTTTCCGAGATCCCCCCTTCTGCGTCTTCTTCCTCCGCTAACGCCGCGGCGAATAACGATGCCGACAGCGAATGCGAGGATCCGTCGGAGCTGTTCCACCGCGACATGGGCACGCAGACCTCGGGTCGTTCATCGCCCGTGATCCCTCCCCCGGCGTCGGCGCTCGTGACGGAACCCGCTGCTCAGACCCAGGCGAGGAAGCTTGCCAACTTGGCGAGGAACTTGGGGTACTTGAAGGAGGGCATCGATAGCCAAGTCGACGATATGCAGGATATTTTGGCCGTCGTGGATACCTTTAGGGATGAGCTGCGCCAGACTTCCGTGTCGAGGTCTTATGCTCACCTGGGCTGGAATCAGCCTGAGCCTGATGATGAGATAAAGAAGGCGAAGGATAATATACGGCGGCTGAAGGGCGTGTTTTTGAGTACGAGGAATTTTCCTGTCTCAACAAAGTAGAAGCCGATGTATATACCCTCTCTACGCACCGCCTCCTCGCGAAGGCCGAGATATATCGTGTATTATTATTAGTCTTTTGACATTGACACCACAGTAGGAGATGGAACACAAGATAAATGTATAGGTACAAATACTCTCACTGTTAAACTTGGCGAAACCGTCAAGTCATTACCAAGTTCTATGAAATTATGAGAACCTTGACACAATAAGCCCCCCCCCCCCCCCCCAAAGAAATGGAGAAGGATACTACCACTCAGACCGACCCCAGCGCCTATAAAAGTCATTCATACATGGCTCCTATAGCCGTAAACTCCGATATCTAGAACTGCTGGGTGTTCGCGCCAAATATAATAACCATGCACGCCTCGATGGTCCTTCCACTAGGACCCCATGTCGGGCTCGTAATCATACAAAACAACGTCTTGTGTCGTGGCACCTAGCCCTTACGGTTAACTAACACTCCGAAGAGAATTGTTCTGCAGCCCCGACACGTACCTAAAACCTCCTCATATCGCAACATCTCGGATCTCCTTGCTTGGCGTCCTTGCTTGAGTACAACGCGTCAAACATCCCCGTCTCTCTTTTGGTAGCGTCTTTGCATACTTCTGCATCGTCGCCTTTCACGCCTCCAAGAGGGTCCTGCGCTCGTTTCTTGCTATGGTGGGGCCGATACGAGTCCAGCAGGGGTACGCGGGTCGGGTGGACTTGTGGGCCGCGGCGCGAAGGTAACTCGACCGTCGGCTGGTCATCGTTTCGTGGACCGCGGTTGGCGGCCTTGCCATTCTGTTCTTTCTGTCGGCTCTCTTCAGATTTCTTCGGGTTCGATCTCTTCTTCTTCCATGGGTGGTTCTCCTCTTCGTTACCCACCCAGCGTTTCTGTCCAGCCTTCTGCGCAATCGCTTCTCCGGTTTGTTGGGCACTTCCCCTTCGGTGTTGAGGACTAGTTCCCGCGCCAGAGCTTCCACCAACAGGGAAACTCTGAGGAGCCTCGAGATTAGGGTAATTCGGGCGTTTGCGCCAATACGAGGACGGCTCCCCAATTTCGGGACGGAGAACAAGTGCACTAGACTCATTGACGACCCGATCAATAGCTGACGATCGTGGTAGTCTGAACGAAGATGACGGCTTTTTTGCCCTCTATGACTCTTGAGGCTCGCCATTCTGTGACTGGATGCCAAGTATCTCAAATCCTTCTTGCCATGGGGCTACAAGGATGTGGGCGTATCCGCGCCCTTCTTTGCACTGATCTTTATACCACCGCATTGTGGGTTCAAATCTGAAAGGGAACGCACTGTCATCCTGAGTGAAGCCGCGCTTCCTAGCCTCGGAGGCAGCTCCATAGAGGATGTTGTTGTTATATGGAGATGGGTCGCCAGTTCGGTCTCCCGGTGGTGGAGGGAATACGATAGCCGGATGACCTTGGGGGGGCTTTTCTTCCTCAGTTGAGGCCCAGGATGCAGGAGATTCCACGTCCAGAATTACCCGTCTGTAGCCAGACCGCTCCAGTTGTTGTGACGTAGCAGGAACCTCTTTCTTTAAGTTGGTTAACACGCTACCAAGAAACTCCAACGTCGCGTCCATGGGGTGGAGATCGGCATCAATGAGCGGATCAAGTGGAAACCCTCCCAACCAGACGGCTCCGAGTCTCGAGCCCGCATTCTTCCTCGATGTTTCTTGCCTGACGAACCGGATAAGATCCTGCTGGGCGTCAGAGAGAGCATTCTCTGTCGGCTGTTGTCCAAGCGGGAACCTGACGATGGCGAAGAAATCCCAGATGATGAGGTCAACCTCATCGCTCCCATCAATCTTCTCCCCTGAAACAAACTTATGCGGGTTACTAGGCCGGTAAAATGCAAGCCACGGAAGCTGCGGCAGGAACTCGGTGGGACGTTGCCCTGATCTGACGGTATCCCATCCCCTCACAGCGGTATAAAACAATCCACCGTATACACATTTTCGTCCGGAAGGATCGAATGGTCGTAGATAATCAAACCACGCGGTGAAGGTATAATGTTTCGCGCCGCGTGACCCAGAATAGTCCAAGCATGAATCGTGGAAGCCCACAGGGAACTTGTACATGATTAAGAAGCTGGAACCACGCCTAATCAGCCCCTCAACATAATCCGTAATAGATTGACTTGAATCGGTTTTCAGTAGTCGGCTCGGGAAAGGAAAAGACTTTTGTAACACCCTCGCGGTGGCGTCCGCGTTCGACTCCATTGCCAAGTCATCGGGCCAGCTCGAGTCAAGAACCAAGTCCAGTCTGTAGTTTGGGAAACGAGCCATCATTTTGCACCCATTCTCGCCTTGAATGTCCTCTTCATTGGTACCAATGACGACAAATCGGCGATATTCTTCAGCGACGGTGACCGACCACCACGCAAACCAATCCACGAGGCTCTGCTCGTCGTTTGAGACAATGGATTCCGGCGCAAAGATAACCGGGGAAAGACACTCATCCATGAGACCAGCCTCATCTGTCGCCTCGGAAACAAGATGACCGAGTTTCTCCAAGAGCTTGAACCAGACGGCGCAATTCTCGTCCAATTTACCCTCAAAGATTGGTACAACACCCGAGGTCTCTGCACTTTGAAGCGCCCTTTGGCTTGCGATGTCACGAACATATTGCTCGGCGTCGCTCGCTAGGACGAGTTTGGTGAAGCGAGACTGGCGGCCGAGAACCTTGGTGGTGTACCATTTCAGAAGTTCATATGCTCGGCGTGGTTGGGTTAGAAGGAAACTCGGTGTCACTAAGATTGCCCTGCCCCCAGGGAAGATACGACTTAGCGTCGCGCCGGCACCTGTTGCCACCATACCGGGTTTGGTGCTGTCGGTAGGGTTAGGACCTGGGCGAAGTAGCATGGTCCCAGAAAAGGACCAGAAAGTGAAGCAATGATCACCCCGACGAAGCATATCCCAGATTCCCGGCATGCGACGTACTATGTACATGCTAGGCTCATGGAAAATTATGGTGCCGACACTAGTGCTCCGGCACATCGCTTTCCAGGCTCCGGGAACTGAGGACAGGTAGATCCTGCTGTCAGGGTCGCGAAGCTTCAGACAAATTGACAACTCCCGAAGAATATTGTCCTCCGTTGGCGACGCGACCAAAAAGAAGGCATGCTGTGCTTTCTCAATGCTTCCCTGGCCTACGGCATTCGGTTTCGCAGATTTTTCTGTTTCCTTTCCATCCGTTTTCTCCTCGACCTTTTCAGTCTCCGTGTTCTTCATTGCTGTCGGCAGCAATGAAGAGTATTCGCGGCCAAGGATGTGCTCGAAAACTGCATGCCCACTGACAGAATCGTCATTCTCAGCCAAGGCTTCAGAGACATCACCACCTAGAGAAAGCATCTGGTCTCCTTCCACCCGCTTGGCATACATCAAGTGACGAATTAGGCACTCAGGTGTGGTATTGGAGGAGGCTTTGAATATGGGGTCCTTCCACATGTCACATCCATTCGGATAAAGGATGATAATGTACTTCTCGTACTCACAAACCACACCACGTGAGCCAGTCTCTAGTTGCTTTGATAGTGTTTTGAGTGCATTGGAGGCTTTCTCCGTTGTGACACAACCGGAAGCCAGGTTCGCCCCAATCAAGTCTGGCATCTGGGCCGCAAGATCTTGTGGCGTGAGAAAATGGGTGAAGTGAATAGGACCTCCACCAGTGAGGTGAACATACCAGTCCTCGGCCGGCATGTCAGGAATGCCGTCAAACAGTACCTCGAGCTCGTCCAAGCCACTCCCGCCAATGGAAATCATTTTTGTGATCCGGGTTGTCTGGTGTACAGGCGGGGGAGGGCTGTTCCTGGGAATAAATACAGCCTCCTCGTCGTCCATACCCGCAGGCTCCGCAGTATAAGGAGCATCCATTATAGGCTCGCTGGGGCCATGAGCGACGGATTCGATCTCGGCGAATCGAACCGATTTCTTCTTTTGTTTCTTTCTCGGTTCCGGGCCACCATCTGCACTTTCCGCTGATTCGTGGGTTGATTTACTCGCACTTTTCCTCCCGGACTCCCTAGACTCACTCTCTGATTCCGGCTTCTGGATAGACTTAGAGTGCTGCGCCGTATCAGTGATGCGAAACAGGCCACTAGGTAAATTATCGGGAGCACGGTCCGACCCGTCACGAATCCTTTTGAACGCAATATTCTGGATACGCATTTTAGTGAAGTGCTTTTGGCCTTTGGTCGGATCGACGAGCGCATCCTTAAGGCGCCGTCTTTGTTTCCGAACAATGCCAGTCACGAAGATGTTCGCACCAGCCCCGAGTGAGCCCTTAGCGACCGTGGTTCTTCTGGCAGCGAGTCTCGACGATCCTTGGGATGAGGAAGGGGTTTGCTGTGGTGCCGCAGGGTTGCGGCTCGTGGGCCCGGATGCACCAGAAACTATCCTGGAATTCTTGCTTGGATGGCCGGATGGCAAGAGGCTTCTAACTCGAGCGGGCGTTGCTACATTTGCCCGAGTAGTCGTGGCGGAGGATCCACTCACTTTACTCACGGACCGGCGAAGGAGAGCTTCTTGCTTCCCAGGAGCCGGGGCCTGCTTCGTTGAGCCGGAATCTCGATGTGGTGCCTTCGGACGGCTTTGAGGCGCGCCGTCCGCTCCACTAGATTGAATAAGTCTCGAAGGATCCTCACGTTGGCTAGTTCCGGGAGGCGCATCTGGGGTGTTAGGACTATCAGGCTTTACGCGACCTTTGGGGGGCAAAGCTGCCTTCTCGGGATCCTTTTCGGCAACCGGGCGAGGTCGAGACAGAATTCTCTCATCTATCTCGTCGCTATAGCTATCATCGCTATCGCTCAGAAGCCCATCCGTTTCAAAGTCGGTGACATCGATGTCTCCCTGAGTAGCTACCTCTTTGAGCTGTCGCTGCAGCTCCTGAAGCGTTGGTGTCAGGGGTCGACCCAAAGCAATACGTCTGGCGTTCCTTAGTTCGGCTCGGCCAATCCTTTCTTTGAGGTATTGAACCTTGGAATTGAACCATGATTCGACATCAAAGGGCTCCTTCTCCCCTTTCTCAACGGCTGCTTTATTCTCGGCCCATGCCTTCAGGGTGTCCGGCTCAAGATGCTCCTTCGGCTCCCAACTTGCCTCGTGGAGAGGAAAACCGGTCCACAGAATCAAATAATGGGGTTCTCCATGTTCCTCCATGGGCATCTCCGCGAGGACATCCTCAACGGTCCAAAGCATATCGTCGTCGTTTTGCTCCTCGATTGTAGTATCAGAAGAGAAACCAAGGTCTTCCACCAAGGCTGGCGCATGCTCCTGGCCTGAGCCCTTTTTTAAGCCATAGGAGGATGCCATGTCGGAAAGGCGGAAGGCGAGCCAGTGCCAGGGTATAAGGGCAGTGCTGGCAGCCTTCCTGAGAGGAAACCGAACGCAATTACCTGGATCGGCTTGCAGGGATTATGTCTGGGTGTATAGTAGTGGGATGAGAAACTGAGACTGGTGAAGAGGGCTGAAGAGATGGTGGTTTTTTGGAATGAGAACGGGTAAGAGCTGATGCAAGAGAAACTCGAGGGATGGAAGGGACTAAACGAAAGAAGCGTCGCGCTTTGCGGCAGACCCAGAGGACTGGTAAACAAGCCCTGCAAAGGCCTTGTTGTTCCTCCACCCCTCAGCTCCTCTGTCCTGGAGATGTCCTAGCTAGGTCAGGGCAAGTTGGCGGCAAGACAGGCAAGATGAAGCAGAAGGAGATGCAAGAGTGAGGGCTCGGAGCACATCTAGTGCTAACAGTTGATGGACAGAGAGTGAGAGAGTGAACAATATCTTAGCTTCAACTTAAGGAGTATGTTAAAGAGCAAGTGAAGAAGCAAGTAGGGCAAATGTGAAGCAACAGAGTGAAAAATGAAAACATCACGTGTCGTACACATAATATGAACAAAGGCTGGTTGAGAGAGGATTATATTGTAAGGTGAACAATGGGAGAAGGAGGGACTGAGCAGAAAATGAAACCATCACGTGTCCCACATCCTATGAACAAAGGCTGGCTGAGGAGAGTGGATTATATTATAAGTTGAATAAGGGGAAGAGAGGGAACAGAGCAGAAGGAAGGTTGGATGGGCTGAACAGAACAAGGACACAAGTCTGTTTGTGGTATTATCGTGCCTTCCTTGGACATGGGACAATGAAGATTCAAGTTCCCTCTTGACGAAAATGCTGATTCAGCAGACAGCTCAGAGGTGTTGAAGGCGATACAAGAGGATTCTATGGAGTTTTCCGGTCCTGTTTCCTGGTATGCGGTAGCGGATGATATTACCTCGTAGATACTCCAAGGCGTCCAGGCTCGAATTCTGGTGTGTAGGTTAAAAGGTCCATCGGCTCTCACAATATTGGCGGCGCTGTTGGGCTCCATGAAGGCTGGCGCAGATTCAGTATGGCGGAAATCGATGCGAAGTGGTGCAGGCTCTACAGCCTGGTCCCTCAATTGATTCTTCAGGAAAGCCAACAATTAAAGTCCGAAGGTACCAGCTTCCATCATTGATACTTCGAATTAAGTCACCTTTCTACGCAGGTACAGGGATGTAATAGTTCTGGAAAGTGGACTCACAAGACACTGTTAGGATCACTGGAAGTTAGAATCACTGGAAGAACGATTGTCGAGTTCCCAGGTGGACGACGGACTGGGAAATATTAGATTCTTCCAAACCCACGGTATTGTTGATAGCGAATAGGTTCGATCCTCTAACGGTTTGTTTCAAACCGCCGGCGTCGTACATGTGATACGACAATACTTTCTAATTTCAATGTTCTATTAATTCTGCTGCCTGGCGTCGGTTGTGGAAGGCTGCCAAATTATTTCTCGATTTCGGGCTTTTGGTGAGATTGGCAGTTAATACAGTAGAGCGACCTCTGAAGTGTCCTCGATAGGCGAGAGGGCAATGTGGACAGGATATTATGGCTTGGCCTAACCATGGCGGGGAGCACCAATCAATTCAAGATTGGCCAGTCGAGGTATGGTAAACTGGTACTGGGTACAAAGGGGGCTAGGTACATGTACTTTGTATCTCTTGACTGCGGTCCTCATCTACTCCCAATTCACCATTCATTCCACACAAAAAGCGAACAAAGAGACCACGCCAAAGGTACCTTGCCCCAGTCCAGGCCACTGTGTAATGTTCAATGTTGTTGTGTCTTGGTTATGCATTGATTGTGTGTGCCTGACTGGACCATTCCACTGCAGGCAAAGACTTGGACTGCACTGTCCATTTGATGTCTCCTCGATTTCAGAGTTGGAGCCATCTGAACAGAGCCGCGACCTCCACTTCGACTATCCAACTCACTCCTGAATACAACTCAAACCTGCGCTTGCATTTCGTAGCCAGCCTCATCTTCTCCAGACTAGTTGCCATCCAGCTCCCAAATCGCCCATCATGGCCAACGACGAATATGATGTGAGCCCCCTACGTTTCCCCCCCGTTGCACAGCTCACCGCATCTGATCCCGTGGCTTCTCGACGCTAACCACCACCCACCATCTCATAGTTCCTCTTCAAAGGTGCCTGCCCTCGCGACTTGCCTCCCCGTCGACTGCTCCTCCCTACAGCGTCATACACCGAGATGAATGCGAGAGAAACTGCCTACTGACATTGCGTACAACAACAGTCGTGTTGATCGGCGACTCTGGTGTCGGAAAGTCCAACCTGTTGAGTCGTTTCACCCGCAATGAGTTCAACCTGGATTCCAAGTCCACTATTGGTGTAGAATTTGCTACGCGGTCTATCCAGGTGGACTCCAAGACCATCAAGGCCCAGATTTGGGATACCGCCGGACAGGAGCGATACCGAGCCATCACTTCGGCCTACTACCGCGGTGCCGTCGGCGCGCTTCTCGTCTACGATATCAGCAAGCACCAGACCTACGAGAACGTCAACCGGTGGCTGAAGGAACTGAGGGGTCATGCCGACTCCAACATCGTTATCATGCTAGTCGGCAACAAGAGCGATTTGAGGCACCTGCGAGCTGTGCCTACGGACGAGGCCAAGGCCTTTGCTAGTGTGTCCCTATCGCCACTATCCTCCAGGCCCCAAGGACAAACCCGGAATACTGACCCCTTTTTTACCAGGCGAAAACCACCTCTCCTTTATCGAGACTTCTGCCCTTGATGCTAGCAACGTCGAGCTTGCATTCCAAAATATTCTCACTGGTATGCGCCCCCTGTCCACACGCCCGCCTACCCCCGCCTTCTTGCCCACCATCTAAGCCTCACCCCACCACCCACCACCCACCACCCCTCTTGTCTGCCCTGGACATCCCTGGACGTGCGACACTATGATGCTAACAATGATTCTTCCCCCTCCCCAGAAATCTACCGAATCGTATCAAGCAAGTCCCTCGACAGCGGCGACGGCGCCCAAGCCACCATCGGAACCGGCACCAACATTTCCCTCAGCAAGCCGGCGGAGGATGGCGCGGCGAAGGGCGGAAAGTGCTGCTAAAGTCAATTCCTTTGCTGGGTTTGTCGGGCTACGGGTAGGCTGTTTCTGATGCGTGGGCATCTTTATACGTCTGGACATGTAACGAGGCGTGAGATTGGAAGGGGGATTACGCACAACGGACATCATTTAGGGGCTTTTTTTTTTCTTTATTGTGACCGGAGTCTTGCTGTTGTTCTTAATTTCTCTTACCACCCTGACGTCCCTCTGTCCCTCCGTCCCTCCTTGTGTCCCTGACTCTCCGATTTACGCGCGTGCTGGCGCAAATGCGTTCCTTTTGCCAGGCAAGCGCCTGGAGAGAACGCTGATAAGCTTGTCCTCGTGTAGGGGGATATTTTGTACTGAACCGCTCCTGCCCAGCGCCAGCGATGTTGTGTCTGTCTGCTTTATGGCCGATGAGGCGTGCATTGTCGAGTACACAGGTACCGCAGGTGGACACCCTGTATACTCAAGCTATCATGGTGCACGGGCGGCTCCGATAGGAAAGCTCTTAGCCTTGAATGTCATTCCATCTACGATTCTGCAGACTGGGAAGCCGCTCAGTGAAAACAATTTTTTTTGGGGGGGATACACCCTTACCCTTGTCTTTCAGCACATCTTCGAATTCTTGCAGAGACCTTGTAGTCGATGCCTTCCAACCAATGGCACAACATCGCGGGGGCCTCTCTCGACGTGAACAATACTCACCTGAGACTACATGCCGCAAACGACAGAGGAATTGTCTACCAAAAAAAGCGTCACATCCTTTATCGCAATCTTTGGAGAGGGGAACCCCACGTTTCACAACACCAGGCCGCTCTGTTTGTAATGTCTCAAGTACTCTTTCCGGTGATGAATGATCATCCGGATAGTTCACAATCGTCCGAAGGAAGAATATTTCGGGAAATCCTCTTTCTTCCCTTTCGTCTTGGAGAAGGACTGGGAGGAAGAAACAGTGAAACAACATATCAAATCCCATCAGAGCACGAGGTCCCGAAAAGGCGGGGTGGGTTCCAAGGCCCTGGAGCTGCCTCATTTAATGAGGTACCTGGTACTTTGTACCTAAGTTAACACACAGGGGTTGCCGCACGGTCACCGATAAGGAACGCTTATCAATGGAGGGACGAAAAAAAAATAATAAAAATTTTGGAGCCAGCCTTTCTGTAGCAGCCTTTCCCAATATCACGAAAACCATCCTTTTCTGGACGACGAAATCGAACGAAAATGGCGGCTGTATACAAATCCATATCGAAAACCAATGGGGAGAAGGCAGAGGGCCAGAATGGAGTGAGGAAAAACAAGCAAAGGGTATTGATTCTCTCTTCAAGAGGCGTCACATACAGGTAGGCTCATCGACTCTGCGCTTCCAGCCAAGCCCCCGTCTACGGACTGTTCACCGTGCTAATCAAGCCCATTCTGAGTCGCCTAGGCACCGACATCTATTGAACGATCTTGCATCTATGCTTCCCCACGGCCGCAAAGACTCCAAGTTCGATTCCAAGTCGAAGCTGTACCAGCTCAACGAGCTTGCCGAACTCTACAACTGCAACAATGTGCTCTTCTTCGAGGCGCGAAAGGCGCAGGATCTATACATGTGGATGAGCAAGGTTCCTAACGGTCCTACCGTCAAATTCCACGTTCAAAACCGTGAGTTGACATCGAGTCGCTTGTCATAGAGGGAGAGAAAAAAAGGAACTGAAAGGAAACGGACAAAGACCAATGTCTGAGCAAAGTCTAACGTCTGTTGTGCATGAACAGTCCACACCATGGAAGAACTACACTTCACTGGAAACTGCCTCAAGGGCTCGCGACCTATTCTCTCCTTCGACGCCGCCTTTGACCAAGATCCCTACCTCCAAGTTATTCGCGAACTCTTCCTCCACACCTTCGGCGTCCCGCAAGGCGCGCGGAAATCCAAGCCCTTCATAGACCATGTCCTCGGCTTCACATATCTTGACGGCAAGATTTGGGTGCGAAACTACCAGATCAACGAAGTCGACACGACAGAAGCTCCCAAGGAGGGTGAGGAGGCCGAAGAGGACAAGAAGCAGAAGAAGCACAAGGCCGGCAGCAAAGACACAGACATTAGCCTAGTGGAGATTGGCCCGCGGTTCGTCCTGACGCCAATTGTGATACAAGAAGGTTCGTTCGGTGGGCCGTTGATCTACGAGAACAAGGAGTTCGTGTCGCCCAACCAGGTCAGGTCGGATTTGAGGAGGCAGAAGATGGTGAAGCACTCCGCGAGGGCAGAACAGGTGGTGGAGAGGCAGGCTAAGAAGCGGGATCTGGGATTACGATCGGACAGCCAACAGAAGCCCAAGGATGAACTCGACACGAAGATGCTCTTCGCTTAGACAAGACGAGGGCAGTGCTTGGAGGGCCGGGAGAAAAGGAAGTTGTTATTTTCTACTTTTTATCATGGGACACCTGGAGTTTACGAGGGTCAGCACAACTGTATCTTCAATGTTAGGACGGACACTAGTGTAGAATCAACAGTGGGACATGCCCATCCTACGAAACAGAGTTCAATGGACTCTGATCAATTGATGTCCCGTCCTGATGCATTGACCAATTGATCGATCGCGTGCTAATTTCCCAGTTCGGAGAATCGCAGAATGGCGTTCTCAGATTAAGTAAGCAGGCGATCCTGGCTGGTTTCACCTTGCCAAATGAATCACTCAGCTCTTATATGGCTTTTCCTTGCCTCCCTTCATCTCAAATTCCTCCTTTTTCTCTTCCATCACTCATCCATCTCACAACAAAACAAACTCAATTACATCGAACAGCGCAAGCAAACAAGTCCACAGAATATGGCAACCAAACAGCATGCAACCGCCATAATGGCGGTGACTCAAACAACCCATTCCCAAACCACCCAGACGGCCGTTATCGCCTCTACCTTTTCAAGCCCCAACGTCGGGGTGGTAGAAAAGTAACTTACGTGTCTTGACGCGTCGAGGTCATTGTTCGGCCTCGGCGCAATTGGGGAGTGAACAACCTCCCCGGACACACTTTTTCTAAGTTGTATTTTGTGAGCTGTTTGTGCTCATTTCGTCGTAATCGACACCTCCCGGATTAGGTGTAAGTGGTGAACTCTCGAGTTCAATGTTGAATTGTCGTGATGTGATGACTAACTGAGAGGATCAGTCCGGACAAGACAGCTTCATCGAAGCTTCCAGCACTCGCGATCCCGAAAGCGGTGCTTGAAAGAACTCAAAGACCTCTCGAGTCTGATTTAATTCAACCTGTATTATGATCAAATTGTTGGTCAGTCTGCCTGGTCTTTGTTCGTGATGTTATCAGTCCTGATACTGACATCTGGAATCGTCCAGCCCAGTCCATTTCAAGTGAACATTACGCAGCTCTGATATACATATCTGGTCGATATATCTTTGCTCGATAGAGCTTCATTCTCATTCATCCCTTCAAATTTTCATTTCATCTTCATTTTCATTCAACTAGAACAAACGTCGCTTTCGCACATTGCAGCCATCTCATCCTACTATTTCACTATCATCTCCCAGACATACCACATAGAACATCAGTCGACCTAGCAACCACCTCGACACGTTTTGTTAATGACAAAGGACCTACCCGATCAAGGACTCTACAAAATGTCTTCAGCATCACTTGAGGACCTCCCTACGGAGGTCCGTTTGGACATTTGCCAGTACCTAGACGTCAAGAGCGTCTTCAACCTTACCCAGGTCAACCGGTCATTCAATATTATGATCAAGTCCAACAGAGCCGGGATTCTCCTGCCGATTCTTCAACGGGATTTCAGCCCATTGGACGAGCTTGTCCAAGTTCTCACCGCCTCCGAAGAAGACCTTGAGGTCCGCGGACACACTTATCAGCCTCGTCGCGTCATTTTCCAGCGCCGCCAGAGTCATTGTAGGACCATACTCGCACACGGTGGCTTTCAACATGCCGACAAGCCCGAACAGGATTCAAACGGTTTCCAACGAATCGGTAAGAAGGCAGCGAGGCCCAACACTGGCCATCATGCACCTTTGCAGACGGTTGTCCTTCATGCAGGAGACCTCGATCGTCTTCTACAATACTGTCTAGTTGTGCGACAGTGGGAGGAAATTTTCCCACATTTGCGCTGGATCAAACAGCCAGCCTACTGTCGCTTCCTGGATGACCACGAGCAGCACAAGTTCCGGCGGGCATTGTATCGCTGGTGGCTGTACACGTTCTACTTCCACGGCGATTTTCGACGGCCTCGTGATGCGCAGCCATCGGCCTTCGTTGATGACATCCGTGTTTGCCAGATGAGGATGTATTCGACTGCGGAGTTGCTTGAATTGTTGGATCTACTCACGGCTGTGTTCCACCTAGTTCAGCATTATATCTGCCCGAAGCTTGAGCAGAATCTTGTTGAGGTTTGTTCCCATCTTTTCGTCTCCCAACCCCCCCTCTTTTTTTTTCTTCAGAATCCGGTGGCATTTAGTTAACATGTACCAGGGCTACGGGACGAGTCAAGTCTCTGATGCTGAAGTGCGATGGAACGACCCAAGCCGGCTTGGCAGGATCATTCGAACTTACGCCAAGCTTGATCCGAAAGAGCTTGTGCTTTACTTCGAGTCCATTTACAGTTATTCTAAGAAGCGACTCATCTCGGATGTTCATCTTCGGCATCCGGGGTTCGTTGATGACCAAGAGTCTCTCCAAGCTTCCATCCGGGCTGTATTGGAAGAGAGGAGCTGGCTCGAGAAACTGCCCGTCCCAACTGACACGGTCGGTGGTATTGTCGACTTTGAAGACGAGCGAGACGACGAGGTTGAACGCCTTAGGTCGGATAGTAGTGCGGATGGATCTCTTCCAGAGCCTGCAACGTACATCAGGTCTTACTCGACATTTAATCCTCGCGGAGACGATGGAAGTGGTAATGACGCTTGGTCGTATCCTACGCAGTCTGGCCCAAGCAACCGGCTTGCGCTCGCAGAGGGCGTACATTGACAGTGGGACGTGGCGATGAATAACACTGGGCTTGGAGCGGCGGAATGTTAATGTTATTTTTTTTTTTTTTTCCTCTTTGGGGATCTTCGTTTCTTTTCCAGCAGCCTGGGCCTCCATACTCAGATACGCCTGTGGATGGAGACCTATGATGGCTGAAGTTTTTTTGGGTTGTCTAAGGGAGTATATAGATGGAATGAGAGCTGTCAAGCGATTAATTCCCAGTTGATCAAAAGACGGTTGTCTGCCGCACCTTCGTCGTCTCGTTGATCCGTGTGTACCATTTACTTCGTACATATAGAACCTATATTGATTACTTTTGGCCATTTCATAGACTATGAAGATAGGAGAACTATATTAACTATGGACTACTTCGTATGGATCTAGATGATAAGGTATTCGGTCTAAAAATTGATACGGAACAGACGGATGAGAGTGCATTCCCAAGGGGCGGACTGCGGTGCCGGGAGCTGTGGCTTGTGTGGTGCTTCAGCCACCAAGACCACTAGAGCATGGTGAAAGAGGCGCCATTAGCCCGGCCTTGGTTAGTGCTCCTGCCGCATGGATCTATCAATACAGACATTGCGAACCTCGACCTTACATTGCCCATACATCTCCTGCTCTACTCGGTATTAATCCTCCTCTTTCGCATCCCACCCTTGGTTAAACTGTACGAAACCACCAAATTCGCAGTCGCGTAAAAGGAATTCTGGGGATAGCCTCCTAAATTTTACTCCCAGGAAAGCGCGACTGGTCTGGGGTTTCTTTTCCTGTATGTCCCTCCTGTGACGCTCACTTGTTATTCACATTCTTGTCTGAGAGATTCACACTTCTCCCTATTATTGATCTCCCCTCCCCTTCTTCATCCCTTCCTATTCTCTCTCTTATCCTTTACTTTTCCTTTCATTTTCATCTTTACACCCTCCCCACATCTGCTTCACTCAACCACTAAAACAATTGTGTAGAGCCCTCCAGCATTACTCTTCTCAAACACGTTAGTAGGTCGCCCCCTTCCATCATTCCATATTCTCCTCTACCCCTTGTCATGAAAGAACAGCCCTCAAATATGTCGGGGGAACTGGTGCAGTTGATCGTATTTGAGGACATCCGCTATTTGTTGACTCATACCGTCTCGCCCGACCCGAGTTATCGCCTTCGGACGTAAAGGTCGCGACTAAACAGAGAGCATCGATCTCTATCACTTTCCTCTCAACGCCAGTCTTCCCTTGCTAACTTGCTCTCAGGCCCGTCGGAATTTTGGGAGCTAGCTCCCGCGCCTCTCCTAAGCGCCTTCTTCCTGCATCTGTCCTCCACCTGCAACTCTTTTGCCTTATACGAAACCCGCTGTGATATATGCATCTCGCGCACAAAGGCATCTCGCCCTTCTGCACCGTCGCCTGACAGTATGAGTGACGGCGCCAATCCCAATACCACCACGCCGGGTCAGTCCCGTGCGACCAGTGATGATGTGTCCATGAACGGCTTCCAGGCCGACCATGTCGTGAATGAGGACGGGGAAGAAGAGGAGTCTTCCTCTGACTCGGGTGTGGCAAATGAAGAGCTCCTCTATCACCCCACAGTCCGCGGATCTCTACTCAACAGGAAAGGCCTACAACCAACCGGTGTATGCTATGATGATAGAATGAAACTGCACATGAACGTCGACTGGAGTCCTCACGACCACCATCCCGAGGATCCCCGTCGCATCGAGGAGATTTTTAATACATTCAAGGAGGGCGGCCTTGTCTACACCGGACCTCACAAGGATCTGCCCAAGATCCTTCGCGACGCACCTAACAAATACATGTACCGCATCGCCGCCCGTAATGCGACAAAGGAGGAGATCTGCACTGCCCACCACCCTCACCACTACGACTGGGTCAAGTCGTTGGCAAGTATGAGCTACCAAGAGCTGCGCATACTCACAAAGATCAAGGACCAAGGTCGCGACTCACTCTATGTCGGCAGCATGTCTTTTGCTGCCGCCCTTCTCTCCGCCGGGGGTGCGATTGAGACATGCAGACACGTTGTCGAGGGCACGCTAAAAAACGCGTTTGCTGTCATCCGTCCACCCGGCCATCATGCCGAATATAACCATGCGATGGGGTTCTGTTTCTTCAACAACGTCCCCGTTGCTGTTCGAGTATGCCAGAGGCAATACCCCGAGAAGTGCCGGAAGGTGCTTATTCTTGACTGGGATGTACATCACGGAAACGGTGTTCAAAATATATTCTATCAAGACCCGAACGTGTTATATATTTCCATTCATGTGTACCAAAACGGCGAGTTCTACCCTGGAGAGCCCGAAAATCCCGACATCCCCGATGGCGGCCTGGGGAACTGTGGCTCAGGCCTCGGACTAGGAAGGAACATCAACATTGGCTGGCACGACCAGGGTATGGGAGACGGAGAATACATGGCGGCTTTCCAAAGGATCGTCATGCCCATCGCCAAGGAGTTCGATCCCGATCTTGTCGTTGTATCCGCCGGCTTCGATGCTGCTAAGGGAGACGAGCTTGGCGGGTGCTTCGTCACTCCCCCCTGCTACGCCCACATGACACACATGCTCATGTCTCTCGCCGAAGGCAAGGTCGCAGTCTGCCTCGAGGGAGGATACAATCTCAAGGCGATTTCCCAATCTGCGCTTGCTGTGGCCCGCACGCTGATGGGGGAGCCTCCTCCGCGCATGGAGATCCCCAAGATCAACAAAGAAGCCGCGCGCGTCCTAGCCAAGGTTCAAGCCTATCAGGCTCCCTACTGGGAGTGTATGCGACAAGGCGTTCTTAGCGCTCCGGACGTGGCAAACCTCCATGCGACCAGGCTCCATGACGTTATACGGGACTCTCAACTGCAGAGGTTGCAGAGGAAGCATAAGATGATGCCACTACATATTCACCGCGAGGCTCTTTTCAAGACATTCGAGAACCAGGTTTTAGTTACCCCCAGCATCCATAATGCGCGCCGCCTCTTGGTGATCATCCATGATCCGTACGTCACCGATTGACTTTGAAAGCAACTATGCTTTGCCTTGTTTGGCCGTGTTGGCTGATGGCTAATATTCCGGATTTAGACCCCAACTCGTTGGCCAACTGGATGTTGACAATTCCTTTGATCCTCACAATGCTTTCGTGGTATGAAATTCTCCCTCTACTTGCACAGCGCTTCGGACGCAGCTCCGTGCCCAACTAAATACTAACGTCTCCTAATCAGGTTGACGAGGTTCTCCAGTTCATCGACTGGGCTGTCCAACACAAGTTCGGCGTGATGGACATCAATATACCTGCAGGGCCTGAACCCGAAGAGAGCGTATGCTGACCCCAGACGAGAGGAAGCTTGAATCCTGTTTCTAACTTTAGATTTAATAGGATATCGTACCCTTCATGCCTAGTCTAGCCGAGAAAGCTCTTGAGGCGAGGATCCAAGAGCTTGTCTGCTACCTATGGGATAATTACCTCCAATTGTACTCCGATGAGACCGAGATTTTCCTCATCGGTGTCGGCTACGCCCACATTGGCATCCGTTCGTTGTTGACATGCCGAGGTTTGTCTTTCGAATACCAATTTCGGATGTGCATTTTACTCCCCCTTCTTTTACTAACACTTTCTTGGAGTTCCAGATTCTATGGGCAAAATTACCGGGATCGTCAACTTCGTCAACGGAAACCTGCGGGCTGTCAAATCCGACATCTACCACGACCTGACCTCCTGGTACAAGGATCACTCGCTCGTGTACGTGGATAACGACCACGCCTGCTGGATCGATCCCGAACTCCGTCGGCGCGTAACGAAGCGCCGCTTCGGCAACGTCATACATAGCAGCGCGTCGGGTCTGAGCAAGATGATGCACTCGCACGCCGGCGAGGTACAGGGGTGGATTCTAGATCGGGTGAGGGAGGAAGATGGTGATACCACAGAAGATGAGAAAATGGAGTGAGCGCTCTTATTGTAGTAGATTGGGAAAGGGTCGGAAGTTCATCATTTGTTTTCTTCTCTTTTTTAATTCATCTCCCGGTGTGCGCCATGTGTCGATATCTTCCTCAACGAAGGCATGAGTTACCAATGATGTCCATCACTTGGTTTGTGACGAGCTCGTCTCGCCTCTTGTTTTCGATGGGAATCGTATCAAAATTTGTCTATATTAATGTTTATATCCAGCGGCCATGACGAAATAATTGGCATGAGCCTCAATCCGTTTCAATCCCATCATCGAGGAATCTCGACTGGAATGCTGGTGAATTCATGGTGAGACGAAGTACCTCGGTATCGGGTACCTTGTAATTATAAGACCTCAAGCTTCATAGCTGTTTTCGGAAAGGTGTCGGCGCCGGAAAATTAAAGCACCGAATTCCGCAATTCTGCCAAGCCGTCTCGATCCGACCGCACTCCCTTTTTCGCTCCAGCCCAGCCCATCGCGTAACTTCTCAAGCAACAAGCTGCCTAACTCGCAGTCCGCAACAGGAGCCCATCTCGACTCCTGCTCCCGTCGACGTCCGAAATCGCGACCTACAAGAGGAACTCTTCGTTGTGTCTATACCCCCTCGGTGTTGGTGGTTTATTCCCTTTTGCCGCAACTTTTTCTCCCATTTGGAAGCGGGCGCGGAAGGTTGCTCGACTTTCAGCCTTGCATTTTTTTTTTTTTTTTTGCCACTTTTTTCTTCAGTTTAATTCTTGATCGTTTTGCCTTTTTGCTTTTCTATGCTATTTAGCTTTGGCTGCTCCTAGTTAGAGCTCTGGATTTGTGGCTTCTCTCGTCTACTTCCTTTCGCCCCTCTCGCAACGATTTGAAGAATTTGCCGAATTGATCATGGATCGCGACCGAGATCGAGACCGGGACCGAGATCGCGAGCGCGATCGCGAGCGGGAAAGGGAGCGGGATAGGGACAGGGATAGGGACAGGGATAGAGATCGCGACCGTGATAGGGATAGAGATCGAGATCGAGACCGGGATCGAGACTGGGATAGAGACCGAGAGAGAGATAGAGACAGGGACAGAGATCGGTCGCGGGACCGAGACCGGGACACCAGGAGCAGAAGGTTTGTGCTTTACTCCTTCCTTCTCTTTTCAATTCCATCTGCCTTTTTCTATGTGCACAAGTACCCACCTTTCCCCTGCCGACATTCATTTTCCCCCTTTACACTCTACCCTTTTTACTCTCATTCGCTTTCATCCGAACACTATTCCTCCACCTCCCTACCGAACCACAAAAACAAAGACCTGAAGAATACCAACTGATATCCCCCCTTCCTTAGGTATGAGGATGGTGAGGTAAAAATGTATGGTATGGGCGAATCTTGGCGGCCATTCAACAGAGACCGCTCCCCCCGAAGAGCACGAAGTCCAGCGCGAGATCGTCCTCGCAGCCCACGCCCTCGAAGCCCGTTGCCCACCTCAGACAGCTATGTGCCTCAAAGGTCACCCCGGCGTCGATCGCGTAGTGCGGATAGATACCGACGAGACCGATCCCGCGACCGCGACCGCGACTGGAGACGTCGTGATCGTTCGCGTAGTCCCCCGAGGCGTTACTCTCCACGCCGAAGCCCCAACCGTCGCAGCCCCGCCCGGTCGCCTGCCCCCAGAGAAGACAGCCGCGACCGTGGTCGCTCGCCGCGCCGAGACAGGGATTGGGAGAACAGAGATAGGGAGAAGCCGCGCGAGCGTGATTGGGAGAGGTCCGACAGAGATCGAGACCGGGATCGCGAACGCGAACGCGAGCGTGAACGAGAGAGATCGAGGGACCGAGACCGCGAACGAGAAAGGGATCGCGATCGGACACGGGACAGAGATGACGTACGGTAGGATCAACCCCGTTTGCATGATAGATCATACATTCCTGACTGACCCGCCACAGTGACAACAGACGCTCGCGTTCCCCTTTCAATAGGGATCGCCCACCTCGGGAGAGGTCACCCTTTAGGAGAACTCCCCCGACGGGACCTCGAGGAGGGCCTTATCGGCCTCGCTCCCGTAGCCAGGGACGACGGGACGACCGAGCCCTTCCTCTAGCTGTCCGCTCTCCCCAGAGGGCTTCTACCACATTTTCGCCCAACATCTACCCTCAGTCTGCTTCCAGACGATCTTCTCCTCGTCGTGCATCCAGCATTGCCCATTCTCGACCCCCGTCCCGCGAACAAACCCCCCACTACTCAGCCAACGCTACACCCATACTCGCGCCGCGAGAGGTTCCCAAACTGAGCACCCAAGAATCTGGGTCCCAGGCTCAGAGGTCTCCTCCTCGTGGACCCGCCGCCCTTCGACAGCCACCCACTGGCCCCTCTGGAGCCCCCAGGACCATGGCTCCACCCACCCCGCCGGCACCCTCCCCCGCCGCTCTTGCACCCCCGACGGGTCCCACTCGATCCGGTGCTACTAGCCCATCAGTACCCCCCACGGGACCACGAGGCTACGTCCCTCCCGCGAGAGCACCCTACAACAGTCGCGGTCCCCGTGGCTCCTGGGGTTCACCCGCGCCCCCTCGGCACGCGACGCCAGCAGCTCAAGCGCCTGCCGCGACGTCTCCCGGGCCCGGCGGTATCCCAACCGGTCCCCGCTACTCTGTCTCCTCGGCAAGCCAATTACCTGCGAATACCAACAAGTCCTTCAACCCCCCTACAGCCCCAGCCTCCCAGCTCGGAGCCCCCAGCGCGCGTCCCACCCTCGCGCAAAGCCTATGGTCCACGATGCCCCCCGTCATCAACGGCGGCAAAGTAGACCCGTCCATCACGCCGCTGACGACGGGCGTCACGCGCGACGTCGAGGCCCACTACAAGAAGCTCCGCGAGGAGGAGGAGAAGCTGCGCGAGGAGCTGAGGATCAAGCAGGATAAGCTGAGCAAGAACCTTCGGCAGTGGGATAAGTTGGAGCGCGATGCCAAGGTTTGGGAGCTCAGGAGCGATTTGAGCGAGAATAGTATGAGAAGCTTGGCGGGGGATGGTCCTGGTGCGGCGTTTTAGTGATTACGTCCCTTTTTGTATTTTATCTCCCCTCGAGTTCTCCGCGCTGTTAAGCGAGCTTCGGGGCTCACTGCTTCTTCGTCCTTTTTGAAGAAGAGTATTGAATCCAGGCTGGCGCCCCATGAGAGGAGGCTCTTTATTACTGTTCTTGTTTTCTCTTATTCCTACCAAGGGAACCGCATGGGGATTACAGGGTTTATAGCATGATAGATTGTGCGACTATTGATAAGGGAACGCCAGGACCATAACCAGGAACGAGCGGGCAGGACGCAGGAAGGAGGAAAAATGAGAAGAAACCCCCCTTTTTTATTCCTACTTCAACAATACAAATGCTTCGAAGGGGAAAGGGGTCGATGGTTGTATGTTTAGTTGAGGGATTCTGGGTTATCCCCGTAGATCATCAGAGACGTCATGTTTTAGGTACCCTTCTAAATACGATTTACGTTGCCGAAAATGGGTTGGCCCTTATTGCTCGTCCCTGCGCCTCCGACTTCATGAACGCGATCTCATGAGCCTTGGACGTGCCTACCCCAAGCAAAGCCATCCTGAGAAACATAGCATGTACTTACTTGACCAGACATTCACATGTTATGGCGCATGCAAGGAAGGATACTTTCCACATGCCTCGCCCACCCAAGTGGGAAAGTGGACTGGCTGTAAAGACGTTGCAGGAGTTAACGGGTAGGAGTGCCAATTTCTTGGCTTTCTGTACTTCTGATGCCTACTTCTTCATCCCTTCTTTCCCCTCATCGTCGCGGAGTTGCAGTCACCCTGTAGAGATTTCAACGTGGGAAGCTACGACAAGAACGTTGATAGAGCCCCGTAACTCTTTGGAAACTAGGAAACCACGCGGTCCGCCAAACCCCGAGTTGAGAAAGACCAAGACCTCAGTCAGGTCGCTCAACTGCTCCCCAAGCATGTGAGCCAGCCTCCTCGCTACATAAAACCTTAACGTCCCAAAAGACTTCAGCGGACATACCTCAAGTATATTAGTGCCTTCCTCACGACAATACCTCAAACCTGTCTTCCTCCAGCACCTCCCCTTCGACCCATCTGACCTCGAAGCAACTCCGCATTTGTACCTTCTTCGTCGAGACAACAACTTTGGATTTGGACCTTCTTCATCGTTTCCTCAGAAAATCAGGAACATCTGACGGGAAAATTTCCTGAAGGAGCAACGAAGAGTCAGACAACCCGCCTTCCATTCACAAGCAACCAACAAAAGCTCACGCCGAACTTAAAAGGTTCGCCCAGGATGTCTTTCAGTAACTCGAAAAGTATCGCCGCCGCCGTCAAGAACTGTCTTCTCGACCAGGTAGACAGCGACGGAAACCTCAACCCAACGCTCCTCGCGCTCGCCTCCCGATGCTACAGGATTCAGTCACATGTCCTCCATGTCCCAGACAACTGGGGCTTCTTCTCGCCCGGTCCTCCCCGCTTGCAGGTGCATCAGGGAGCAGGGCTCGTCGTGGTGCTTGGACTGCAGGTTCATACAGCTGCCTTGGGTGGATTTGTGGTCTACATGCTCGTTATTAGGAATCGGCCAGTGTTTGGTTTGGTGGGATTCCTATTGGCAATGCATCTTGCCACTCTAGTCGCTTTTTGGGCATTATCTTTGTTTGACCGTCACCGCGCCATAGGCTATGACTGGGGTGACGGAAAGTTGCGGAAGGAGTGATATGTCTGGAGTAGATGGAGGTCTTTATTGTTCCTTCCACGACACAAATCACTGAATGACAAGAACCGTTGGCCGCTACTCTTTCCATCTTGCATACAAAACGTGCCCCCATGTGCTCCAATCCACGGCTCCAGAACTTCCTAAACTTTTTCGGTGGGTTGTAAGTTGATGTACCTTGGGGCACAGCTTCTGCATATTGGCGATGGTGCCAGCTATGCCTTCTCTAAACATCATGACCTGCAGATCCTTCACCGAGGGAAGATAAGACGGACGGCCGACGTCCCTTCCTCTCCCTCACGCCAATACCCGCAGGCTCCTGCCTCAGCAGTACCAGACCATTTCTTTCGTCTATATCTTTTTCTCTCTGTCCCAGAGCAGAGCTTGATTCTTCCTCTTTTCTTCTCCAACTCGAAGACGATCGTATCGACTACTATTCAGCATGATTCCGTCTCTCTCCTCGCTCCCAGCTCTCTGGGATAGAAAAGTCTTGCTCCGGTATGCGATCATACCACTGGCTTGTGTGCTCCTTACAGCTTGGATCCGGCGTCGCTTCGGCGTAGCCGATCTTACCGGTGAGTCGTTTGCCTGTGCACTAACCCCTCCCCCCAAAACTAGTGCCTGTTTCCACAAGGGCATGTTAGATCCGGAGATTTCTGATGATCAAGTCTACTAGGACGGGGATTCGACGAACACTACTTCGTCGCATTGGGTCTAAGCATCCTCGTTGCGGCCATCATGATCGCGCTCAGCCTCGGCGTTGAGGCCATAATGTAAGAACATAACCAGACCTCAACTTGGCTTTTTGTCCAGGAAGGGGTTCTCCCATTTCGGCTGTAATGGTCGGATTGGGCAGTGCCGTAGGCCTGCTGTGCTTATTGGGTTGGTACTTCAGTTCAGGTGAGAGACCAGTACTGGTGGGTGGTGACACCAGTACACAGATGCCACAACGAAAATTCGAAGGGGCTTTTCCTGAGGGCTGTAATGGTCCGATACGGATTACACAATACCATTTTGTGTCTGAGGGCTCGTTTGGTCTGGGGGCTTGTTCCATCTGAGGGCTCGTTTGGTCTGGGGGCTCGTCCCCATCTGAGGGCTTGTTCCCTTTGAGGGTATTTTGACCGGAGGCCCTTTGGGTCTGTCGGCTCATTCCAGGTCAAGTACCTGCGAATATTTCTTCTTTTTTTTCACTTTGTTCTCGGCCTGGTTGCCGGGTCAAGGAGAAGAAATCCACGTGTGGGCTGCAACGACGTCTTTTGTAGGGCCCAGCTTAGATGCGGAGGCGTACTGCCCAAGGCGTGCTGATGTTGGTCAGACAACACTAGCGTCGTCGAGACCTCTATCTAGTTGACCTTCGCAGGTTCTCAATGGCCTTCGGGCCTTCTCTACATAGCTGGCTGTTGACCGATCTCCCTCTCCTCCATTTATCGCCATTTATTCACGAATCCTCTATCCAAGGTCAGAATGAATGATCGGAGGGTCGGGCGCCGAAAGCAATATTCGTTTATAAGGTCTAATCGTCTCTCTTGGTTGTGAGCGGCCAACATTACCCCCAAAGGATCGGATCCACAAACAAGCGCCATTGAATTTTCCGAACGACCAGAGCCATTGGACAAATCTTGGGCTCGTCTGCTCTCCACTAGATAAACCGACGAGCACTAGATTATGCGTTGGGTTAGTGACGGTCAACTAATACTCGGTGTTGTATACTTTTTTCAACTTCTTTGGGAACCTGCGGTCTATGGAGCGTTGGCGAACAGCGGAGAGTATGTATTTGATACTTCTTCAAAGCCCAAGTCTCGATAGGTGGCGAAAATTTCGAACTCCTCGCGCAGCGGCCAAGGACGCATTGTTGTTAACTCAAAGATGGAGACAGCCCTCAAGTTCCGTGATAAGGCACTGCTGGTTCAATGGGCTTGCATGTGAATCAAGACAGGCATACGGAGTTTCCTGTGCATTCGAAACCTTGATAGTGTAGGACCATACATTCTTGTCTTTCCCGCTACCCCTATCATGGAGCATCTTATTGGACTCGAAATATATGGCCTCCAACTCTGAGGGTTGATGTCTCTGTTCCCAAGGGAAATAGCATCACAATTCTGCGTACAATTTCAAGAGAATTCATACGAGTCTCGTCTTTCTTTCTTTCACTCCAAGTCAGTAGAGTATGACTTAGCTGCCAGCCTCGGGTCTCGATACTATTAATCGAAGCGGTGCTGCGTCTCTTCTTGGATCAGTTTCTATTATCTTCCTCGAGGCATGTGTAGAACATCTTCCCGAGAGGCTGGAACTAGAGGTAGTCCTTCCAGGGCCGCTTTTTTTTTTCTTCTTCAATATGGCTTTCTTAATATTGAAGGGCAACTTCACCTTAAAGTTAGCATCAATATCTCAACTCATTTGTGGGTGGTGCGAGTGCCTGAATCACCTTGAAATTGTGCTGCTTCAGAAGGGCGGCAGTGCCATCCTATCAGCTATGTTTTTAAGTACCGAGAAAACACGTTGCTAGTAGAGAACAGCCTCGTAAGAATCGATCAACGTTGTTGATGCTACTCATGGATACATTTGATACATTTGACCCAGGTTTGCCAATCAACTAGGACAGGTGGACACATGTGGACACAGGTGTGCCCCACCCGCAACAACCCTAACCCGAAAAACCGGGCCGGACCATAAGGTCCGTGAGACATGTTCCCCGGCTCGCCTCCCGGAAGGTCCGGGATAACCTTCAATCCCCTTCATCCCAAAGCCGTCAAGTGGATGGAAAAGAATGAGAGACGGAAATATGAAGGATTCAATTTTGTCTTGCGGGGTTATTCTCAAAGTGTGCCAATAATCATGGCTTCCATGTATCAGGCAAAATAGCCAAAACTAAAAACAGAGGAAGAACATCCAGTTCATCTCATCAATCTGGGTGTGATATTTGGCCCGGCTAAGCATAATGAAAGCTTTCCCGTACCTCCGAATCGTTCTCGATGAGCCCTGAGAACTATAGAGGCGTTAATGAAGAAATGAGCTAGATGGGGCCGAGCATGTAAAATTCTACCTGTATTACATTACCACGTCACCTTGGGGAGGGCGTTTGAATCTGATGAAAGTAGACGCACCGCAAGGATTTAGAACGATGCTTTCCCTACTTTCATCTCAATGTTTTCAAAACCACCGATGGCCACCGCCGAGGGGGCGCTATGGCACTATTCCGTTCCCGCGACAAGTTTCTCTAGTTCTAAAGCAATATAGCAAAGAGTAAAAGAGGCTATATTAGCTAGCCTCGGTAGCTCTCACCGGTGAACGATGGCTATCGATCACTCCTCCTTGTTCCGGAATC